TATAGAGAGAGAGAGAGAGAGAGAGAGAGAGAGAGAGAGAGAAGGAAATCCAGCTAACGTTATGACTTACGATTACATCTTTTCTGCACAAATCTCAATTTGCAGGCAGTCCGATATGTTGAAAGTCTGATGACATCAAAATTCTGAGCCCCTATAAATCAAAATGAAAAAGCCTATTTACTTTTCAGCCTGTTTTCTTTAACATACATTTCATGTGATAAAGTATTCCCCTTAAGTACATGACTTCATTGCACTAGTTAATCAAATCTAACCTTTGCTATTTTTCAACTGTAAACTCCTCAAGGTATAGAAATTTAGTATGCATATTAGGGATGTTAGATATCAGTTAACTGAATAATTGAGTAATCTCATTAATTCTTATTGGTTACTTGACTATTCTTTAGTCCCCGGGGGCAGGGCTGGCAGCCAGAGGCAGCAACATGAGGTATCAGGCAGCAGCTGGTCCGCGAGGGGAGACAGTTTGAAAACCAGCTCCTCGTGCAGATCAGCTTCCTGCTACCCCACACTTGGGGTGGCAGCAGCCCCTGTCCACAAGGCAACCAAGCTCCCCACGGACAGAGGCTGCTGGGGGGGGGGGGGGGGAGAGACACAGAGGAAGTAGCAGGCAGGGAAGGCTGCCACGAAGCAGCCTCTGTCTGCGGTGGCCCAGGCTGGCCACGGACAGAGGCTGGTCTGGCAGCTGCCCCTGTCCGTGGGAGTGTCTGAGCTCCCTGCGGACAGGAGCTGCTGCCAAGGACCAGCCGACAGAGGTGGATAGAAGTAGCAGCAGAGGAGGGGCAGGGCAGGTGGCACCACAGTGCCAGCACTGGAGGAACCAGATTTTAAGCTAGCTCCCCCCAGCACTGCTTCCTGCTCCCTCCTCCCCCTGGCTACTGCTGGAACAGAGGCAACAAGGGAGGGGGGAAATGCATGTAGTCAACAAGATTAACCAATAGGCCTAGGCTTATTAGTTAATCGTATAGTCAACAACACAGACATCCCTAATGCACGCTTTTAAAAAAATGTAAGAAAAAGCACATTATAAACTGATGCAATGTTGTGATGGCTGTATTATTCACAACTAGCAAGCTCATAAGTTTATGAAAGCTTATGAAAATAAGACCAAGTGACTAATACTAAAGACTTTCTATTGCCACAAATGTTTATTTGTTCATGATACTTTTTAAAGAGTTTTGAGATTAAAGTAATTTGACTTCACAATGTGAGGCAATAAACACATTTTAAAGTTAGTTTGTGCAAGCTTCAGAGACAAAGCTATTGGAAAAAAATTATTACTGGTACCTATATAGCAACTGGTTCATCAAGATGCATTGTCCATATGTGCATTTCACCTCTGGCGTATGTGCTTCCTGTGCACTCGAATCAGAAGGGATGCCATTATGAGGACAAGGGACCCAGTCCCACCCCTCAAAATTGGCCCTTACTGTAGGTAGGTGGTATAACAGCAGAGCCTTTTCCCCACTGGCATAATGGAGGGGTGGTCAGGCCAAATGTAAGTGGCATTGAAAGCCTGTGTCTTATTGCTCACCCTTATTTTTGCAGTTTTATCTCCCATGGGCACCAGGCACTCCAATCCCCATGGGGAAGAGCATGGAGTACTGGGAACCCCCAGTCTTTTGGAGGGTGAGAGAACTGGATCTGGACTTTTGGTGCCTAGCAGGGAAATGGAGTCACAAGATGTGGTCTGGGTCTTCCAGAACTGCTTGGCTCTTGGTGGGGATGATGTTCTCCCATCCTGACCATGTCTCTGGATAAGAACTCAAATAGGCGTGCAATGCAGAGACTGGTGCAAGGAGAGAACTTGGAGCTG